TAGATTTTAAATATGAATCTAGTATGAGTTGGATTTTTTCATATGAAAACACACCCTAAGTTTTTATTACCTAGTTAACGAGATTTTTTTTTTTTTTTACCAAATCACACCACTCCTATTCATTTGAACGAGATAATACTTATCTCAATTCCACATTTGTTCTTTTTAATATGAAAATTACTTTTACTAATTCCCCTCACACCTCATTTGTTTTTGACAGAGTCAAAGAATAACCAAACACGCCAAAGAACAACCAAACACACTCATCGTCGTCACGTTGCAACGCACATCAAAAGGTCCGACATGATGAAGGTGGTCAATATCTCCGACGTCACAAGAGCTTCTCCACCTTCGCCACGCACCACCAACGGGAGGATTGCAACCTTAGTGCTATCCGAACCACCGCAGGGTCACATTCAATTCGATATCTTCTCCATGTCCGGAGGCGGTTGAGATCAAAGTTATGGTTTTGCTAATTTCGGGTTTGGCAAAATTTGATTTTATTTTATTTTTTTTTTTTTGTGTGGAAGTTTCTTTGATTTATATTTAGATATATGATTTGTTGAGACTTGTTTTTAATTTCTGCTGGATTTTTTTTTTTATATTTGAAAGAGATTTTGAAATTATTACCCATGACTGAGAATTTTGATCAGATCTTGCATCCAGGTGAGTTTAACGCGGACATTTATATTTGTGTTTTTGAACGATTTTGAGAGTTAATTTGATGTTTATCAATCATTTGATTACAGTTATTGATTGGTTTTTCTTATCTCATATTTGTTTATATATTTTTATTTTTTTTTTTGCATTTGATTTTTTCATTCATATATTATTCGTGATTTAGTAAAAAATATATAATAAACTTAAGATAAATCAAAAGTTTCAAATTAGTTTTTAATAAGTTTTAGAGATAATGTAATAACTTAAAATAAACTGAAAACAATCTATAAGAATTATTGAATAAAATTATGTAATTTAAACTTGAAAATATACTTAAGCATAAAACTGCAATTGTATTCAACAAAAATTCTATGGAGTCATCGGATGACTTTCTTATGGAACCATTTATCACTTACTATACTGACACCTGTCAAAAGTGTATTTAGTGTAGAACACGTGTCAATATACTATTTGTAAGTAATTGTGGATGACTTCATAAACCGAGTCATTCAATGGCTCCATAGCAAAACTGTTGTATTCAAATGGTCGTATGATTGGAAAAGTTTTTTTTCAAGGCAAAATGGATGTGCCTTTAAGCCTAAATGTTAAGGTTGTGGTGATATATTTTTGTATTCAAATAAGTGTTAAGATAAATATATTGTATTCAAAATAAATACATTTATCATTTTATAATTTATTAATTTTAATTTTAATTTTTCAAGAAGTAAGGATATAATAAAATTTTAGCTACGATACGGTTCGAGACAAGTACAAGACAAAAAAAAAAAATATTTTTTGCTTCGTACTCATTCGTACCTTGAATCTAATAGTTGATATTCATTTCTGAGTCAATCTAGTGGTAACAAATGAAATACTTGATTTTATATAATTACAAGGGGTACATAACCGTAGAAGGTCCCATCATTTCTATTAAGAAGTTGTTTCCTTATCGTGTTTTTCTAATAAACATAATAATAAAACTAATAACCAACTTTGCCAATTTCTTCTCTTCTTCTTTTGTGAACCTGTCAAAAATTAGGGCCAAGAAAAAAATACATAATACAAATAGATCAAACTATTAATTTCCCGTATTTCTGTTCTAGCAACCCTAAGAAATAAATAAATTGATAGATACTAGTTTAGAAAAGCTGAAATAGGATTTATTGCATAATTAACCAAAATCTTAAACGTACACTACGATCCTCGAGTTTATACATACAAAATCATGAGACCAAATCCCATAGCAGAAAAATGAAAAGATGAACTCCAGATTGATTATGCAAGACACACCTACTCGATGAATAAACCACAGAGACGATTCTTTCAACTCGTGTCAGGCTCTTTTGGTTGGTGAAGGGTTTCGAGACATTCTTTGGCTCTATGAACCTTCGATTGGAGATAAAAACTCCCGTTTTTTGCATTCCGTTCAAACAAGTTATCGTACTTCTGCAGCAAATACATCAGAAAGTTCACGATAGTAAAATTGCACATGCTACATAACCAAAGAATAGATTCTTTCACTAGGAATTTGCAAATTCATTCCCACAAGTATAAATGCTTTGCAAGTTTTGAGTCTTATGTTTTTCATTAGTTAATATCTCATCATTTTTTTACATCATATCATTTTAACAATATTATTTTACGTTTTTTTAGTGTATTAATATTTACAATTAAATTACTACACAATATTTTATCCATTTCAAATTATTTTTTTCAAAAAATGCATACTGATAAAATAATTGTTTAAATTATTATAATTATAGAGGTTAATAATAATATAATTGTAGAGATTAGTAAACAATTAAAAATAACATTTGCTACTATTGCTTTGAAAAAGGACCAAACTGGCTGTGGGATGGTCAACTAAATGGTTCAATTCGGAGGAACGAACTGGTTTTTAGTGAATCGGTCAGCATCGAGCATCGGCCAATCAGACCGGTTAATTTTTCTTAGATTAGTATTTAGATTAGGTTTAAAATATTGATTATCTAAAAAAATATTCTCAATCATCTAAATGTTGAGAATGTTAATATTGAGAATGTTGAGATGGATGTGTGGGCATACTAGGTTAGGTAGGAGTAGAACGAAAATATTAGAAATAAAGTTGACATCCCCCCTATATATTATTCCAGAATGCGCTGAGCCTACGTGGCTGCTTCTGGTGCTTCGGAATTCTACTTGGCAAAGAATCATGCTTCGTAATTAGGTTTGAACAAATAATATTGATATATTAATAATTAATAATTTAGGTTTGGACATTCCATAAATATTATTTAGCTAACTTATGTATTTTAATATTACTTGTACTAATATGACCCTTTATTTCTTTGTAATTTTACATACTGAGGCACTAAGTGACTAATATATCCCTGACTTTTGATTTGTTTTTTCAATTAGCTATTGCATTATAAATGTATTTTAAAAGTCGATAACTTCTGTATTTCATATCGGTTTTACATATATAATATATCAAATTAATCATCTTTTGATGATCTTCGATTTGACATCTATATTGTATGTATGAAATAAATAAATTATATTTATATTTATAATTATAAAAAATAATTATATTTATTAAAATTCATTAGAAAAATAAAATTATTTCTCAATTGATATATTTATGCTTAATGTAGTTATATGCTGTAACTTAAAAAAAAATTATTATAATATAACACATGTAAGTTGCACAAATACAAAGTGTCATATTAAATATATAATAATATATATTTTTATAAAAGGTGTTTAAATTTTTCTAACTACTTTTTCTCATTAATTTTAGATTTAAAAAAAAAAAATTAGCAAGCACCCGTGTAATACACGGGCGCTGTACTAGTAACACCAATACAAGAGAAAATAAGAGAATCGCAATTAAGATGGTTTGAGCATGTGCGTCGGAGAGACTTCGAGGCACCAGACTCTCCAGTGAGAAGGTAAAAACATTAGAATTAAGAACGCAGATTAAAAGGAGAGGTAGACCTAAGAAAACTTGGAAGGAGACAATAAAAAATGAATTAAACTATTTAAATTTGAATGAGGATATATGCTTTGATCGAGCACGATGGCGAATTTGATCCACATAGCCGACCCCACTTAGTGGGATTTGAATGGCTTGTCGATTGATAGATGGAGTTGACGATAATTTATAAGCAAATTTTATTGATAAAATTAACTATTTATAAAAATATTATACAATTAAATAGTAGTCAACTGGCTACGAACCGGTAATTTGTCCGGTTCAATGACCTTGATGTTACGAGTTATAAGTTACTTATCAAAAATATTAACCGATTTTTTCATCATTCAGCTTAATAAATGTCATTGTCATATTTTTGTATTAATATTTACAAATAATTACAATCCAATCTTTCTATATATATATCGCAGATTGTTTATCGTTTAGGTATAATATTATTCGTCCCAAAATATTTTTTAACAACAACAACAACATAGCCTTTTTGTCCCAAGCAAGTTGAGGTAGGCTAGAGATGAAACCCAAGAGAACCAATGGTAAGAGAAACACAAAAAGGGCTCAAAACAAAAGGTAGAGATTGGAGCAAAAGAGAAAGGAGCAAAAATCACGGTTCTGACACGTTGATTGCTAGCCTCCAAGCCCTCCTATCTACCGCTAAATCCTTAGAGATATTTCAATCTTTAAGGTCTCTCTTAACCGACTCTTCCAAAGTGAGTTTAGGTTGACCTCTACCTCTCTTTACATCATCGACCCGCTGTAGAACTCCCCTACGCACCGGTACATCGGGAGGCCTCCGTTGGACATGTCCGAACCACCTCAACCGATGTTGAACCAATTTCTCCTCACTTGGAGCCACCCCGACCCTATCTCGAATATCCTCATTCCGGATTCTATCCCTTCTTGTGTGCCCGCACACCCAACGCCAACATACGCATCTCTGCTACACTTAATTGTTGGACATGTTTCCTTTTTGTAGGTCAACATTCAACACCGTATAGGCGAATCGTCGTCCTATAGAACTTACCTTTTAGCCTTTGTGGCACCCTCTTATCTCAGATAACGCCCGAAGCTTGACGCCATTTCAACCAACCAGTTGCAATTCTATACCTAACATCTGTCAATGCCGCCATCCTTTTGTAGCATCAATCCTAAATACCGGAAAGTCTCCTTCTTGGCCACCACTTGCCCGTCAAGGCTAACGTCACCATCATGTGTAGCCATGCTGAAAGCTCACGTCATATATTTGGTCTTCGTCCTACTAAGTCTGAAGCCTTTCGACTCTAATGTGTCCTTCCACAGCTCTAACTTCCTATTTACCCCTGCCCTACTCTCGTCAACTAGCACCACATCATCAGCAAAGAGCATACACCAAGGGATATCACCTTGTATGTCCCTTGTGACCTCATCCATCACCAAGGAAAATAAATAAGGGCTCAATGTTGACCCTGGTGTAGTCCTGTTTTAATTAGGAAGTCGCTGGTATCGCCCCCACATGTTCGGACACACGTCATCGCATCCTTGTACATATCCTTGATGAGGGTAATGTACTTAGATGGGACTTTGTGCTTTTCTAAGGCCCACCACATGACATTCCTCGGTACTCTGTCATTAGCCTTCTCAAGGTCGATAAAGACCATGTGCAAGTCCAAAAATATTTTTTAACGTGAAGAATTATTCACTTTGTTATTATTTTTTATTATTTCCCTTATTCTAATAATAGATTTGCTACAAGTTTGAGTTATTGGCCAAATTATTATTAAACCTAAATAAAATAAATAATAATGTTAAAACAATGTTGTTTATAATCTTTAAATGTGTTATATAATATAAATAAAATGAATATGCAAAATATATATATATATAATATTCTCAGAAAAAAAAAAAAAAAAAAAAAAAA